GCAGCTCCTAGCTCGATGCGACTTAACACTCCATGAGTATGAACGATGCCTCAATATGATCAACAAATCCAGTGCGGTGATACTGAAACGTGAGCCAAAAGACTGCTGGGTAAATGGATATAATCCACATCTACTTGAAGCCTGGGATGCCAATATTGATGTAAGTTATATTCTCAATGCATATTCATGCATCATGTATCTCACCAGCTACATAACCAAAAAGGAATCTGGACTTTCTGAGTACCTCAAAACAGTCATTGAGAACTCCACCAGAGACAACGTCAATGAATGTGATGAAATGAGGGAAATCATGCAAGCTTACTCTAAAAAGAGAGAGGTCAGTGCTCAGGAGTGTGTGACTCGTGCCTGTGGCATTAAAATGAAGAAGTGTTCACGTGGTGTCATATTCATACCGACGGATGACAACGCACTGAAAATGAGTCGCCCCATGTCTTACCTAGAGAACACAACTTCAGAAAGTGAAAATGGATGACATCTTTGACTGACAAATACAAAGCCAGAACTGAAACACCAGATTTTGAGGAGATGTGTTTGTTTGATTTCATAGCTACTTGCAGAATTGTCTATGGACAGCAGAAAAAAGGTAAAGATGTGTTGCCTCTCCTCAATGAGATGGGATTTGTGCAAAAGAGGAAAAACAGTAAACCTGCTATCATCAGATTTTACCGCTGCTCACAGGAAAAATATCCTGAGAAGTTCTATGGCACATTAGTGAAACTGTATCTTCCTCACCGATCAGACCAGGAACTGAAAAGACCGTATTTCCCCACGTACGAGTCCTTCTACAACAGTTGTCTTGTTCAACTACGAGGTTCTGACCATCCTGAATATGTCAAACACATTGTGAAACGAAACAGAGACAAAAACACTGAGGAGATTGAGAATGCAGTCGAAGAATTTGAACAGAACAGAGGAGTGATTGATGAATGGTGTAATCTGGCGCCAGAATCTGAAGTGGTCAGGTTGGAATGTATAGAAGAACTGGAGGCACGAGAGCCAGATCATGAAAATGTACAAGAGAATGTCCCAGAATACAGTAATCAGGATAATGCTGTAACAGAAGTCAGAGCCGTCAGAGAGCCCCCTGTCTTAGACCCCACACTGTTACGACAGATGTATCAGAACCTGAACCAGAAACAAGAATGTGTATTCTATGCAGTTAGAGACTGGTGCATAAAGCGTGTCTGTGGCCTAAATTCTGAGCAGTTTTTCTATTACATCAATGGTGGTGCTGGAACAGGAAAGTCACATCTCATTAAATGCATCTACTCAGAGGCATCTAAGATACTGTGCAAACTTCCGAGACATTCTGAGGAGGCTGACATATCAAACCCCACTGTCCTGTTGACTGCTTTCACTGGAACTGCAGTATTTAATATATCAGGTACAACACTGCATTCTCTGCTCAAGCTACCATGAAGTCTGAAACCTCCATTTCAAGGACTTGGCAACAAACTGGATGAAGTCCGATCAGAACTTTTAAATGCTGAAATCCTGATCATTGATGAAGTGTCCATGGTGTCAAAGCCCCTGCTTGCTTATGTGGATGCGAGACTGAAACAGATCAAAGGCAGTCACAGACCCTTTGGAGGAATGTCAGTAATAGCTGTAGGAGACTTTTATCAGCTACCACCAGTGAGACAGTCCAAGACGCTCTGTATGTATGAGCTCTTGAGCTCTTTCAGTCCAGAGGATATGCACAAGTCATCACTACTGCAACCACAGAGAAGAACACACTGCTGGACCTCATTTTCATCTCTCAACCACAACATTGTCTCCACTCTGGTGTGATGAAAACCTATTACAGTTATCACAACCCGGTCTACTGTGTCATGTCCTCTAACAGTCCATAAAGGTATCAGCTGAGTTTTAAAGATCAAGAAAAATGCAAAGTACCTGTAGCTAAACTTAAACTAATATTTTCAGTGCAGAGATTAATAAAATAGTTTATTATAATGTAGTGTATAAATAATACAGCATAACAGTGTGTTGATAAAACACAACACAATGAAGTATAGACTAATCGAGATGAACAAAAGTTAGTGAGATATGTATTAATGACACATTCTGATTACAAAATGATTGAAAGATACAATGATAAATTCAAAAAGAGTATATTGTGATGAATATGTTTACTGAGAATGATGTATAGAATATAACAGACTTGCAGAGATTTAATTCATCAAGAGTAATGTTCACGTAAAGGAAACCTAATTATGCGGTCACAAGACATGTTGGACTTTATTTAGTAAGTTGCATGGAATTTTGTTTGGTAATCATCTTTTCACAGTATTGGACAATATTATGGATAATATTCTTTCCAGGTAACCATATTGTTTTGAGCTATATTTCCAACACATTTTGGCCTGTGCATTTATCAGGGTGGGTTTGGGTTAGGGTTGATAAATGCACAGGCCAAAACTCTTTCAGCAGCTGTATACAGCATTGTACACAGCTGCTAACATTTAGCATAGCAGACATACATCACAAAGTATGTGTTCTAGATGTAACACATACTTTCTGGTGTAATGATACCTACCAGCTGAAACCCCACATTTCCATCCCAATCACTTTCACACTCTAGCAGGGCGGGTGGCCTTGCTAGAGACTGTTACTCATTTAGTTTTTTTTCCCCCTGGACTGGAGACACGGTTCTCATGTGTCCTCGGTAATGCTAAGTTTCCTTTCTGATGGACAGAAGACACAGGTTCAACGAGCTATTGGAATGATGAAAATCTCCGAAGGTCCGTCCAAATTTTGCACCGACTGTCACTGCTTACTGTGCATTTCTACACACTCTTTGCCTTGACATGAACAATGTTTTGGATGAGACGGAGGACTTCCGCCTGATAAAGATCCCCAGAATGGTGGCCCCATTGGTGCAGGTGGACAGGAAAGTTCTGGACACCACACGAGGTATAGTGTTGCCGCCTGTCTGCGCCTGTCCAGTTGCCACAGCAGTTGAACCCCATTGCCTCATGCCTTTCAAGATTAAAGGTATTTCCTCCCCCTGGTCTGCTCCACACCGAGTAGAAGGCCATTTAGGTCCCTATAGTGCAAACGTTGGCAAGTTAGAAATTTCACCGCAGCAGTTAAGACAGATTACATTATGACATATACAAAACAAAAACATACATAAATTACACAATAGGTTAAAAGCAGATTTAAATAGATGTCCACTTTCCAATGTGGACATTACAATTCAAAATATAGTGAAGAACTGAACATGTTAACTTCCTTGCCCTCCTCATAAAAAATAAAATATTCAACAGTTACACAATGAAATTAAACTTTTTCCCAATTACACCAAATACCCCTGATGTCCATGGGGACATCCTCCAACAGCTCCACCTTCGGCCCCAGTATTTTATTGTTTTATCCCTGCCATTGATAACTTTCAGTATATGAAAATTAAATATTATTGTGACGCATAGTCACTTTACACTTCTACTTCACTGCATCTGTCCTCTGAATTTGAGACCTTCCCCTGGCTGCAGCAACGTGCAGAGTGGCGGATGTGAGTTAGCCGGGCTGCCTGCAAAAAAATAACAAAAAAATATAGCAAATGGCACCAAATGTTCCGATGTGCCAAACTGAATCAGATTACGATTTGCAGCGTTTGTAATTCCTTAATTGAAGGGAAGTTTCTGAGGGTCTGTTGATAATAATAATAGCAGTTGGTCCTTAATGTCTTTCTAAATGTACTTTGTTTAGTTTAGTAGGAAAATACTTTAGCACATATTTAATCAGTGAGCGTGTGTCGCTGTAGAGGAGGGTGGTTCACGAGAGAGGGGGTCGTTCACATTTCTGCAATATCAAAAATGAGTGAGAGAAGCTGGAGGACACACAGAGAGAGAGAGAGATAGACAAAGACAGAGAGGGGGAGAGAGAGAGAGAGAGAGAGAGAGAGAGAGAGAGAGAGAGAGACACACACAGAGACAGAGAGAGAGAGAGATAGACAAAGACAGAGAGGGGGGGAGAGAGACAGACAGAGACAGAGAGAGAGAGAGAGAGAGACAAAGACAGAGAGACAGAGACACAGAGAGAGAAAGAGAGACAGAGACACAGAGAGAGAGAGAGAGACAGAGAGAGAGAGAGAGAGAGAGAGAGAGAGAGAGAGAGAGAGAGACACAGAGAGAGAGAGAGAGAGAGAGAGAGAGAGAGAGAGAGAGAGAGAGA